ACGTCTACTCACATCGACAGCTATATGTATACTTTTTTATTTATCAATATGTAATAAAAAAAACGTGAGGAAGTTTTATCTTTTTAAAAGAAACAATTGCAAATATACTCAATATAAAGATATGAAATTATCAGTACTGGTCCACAACTGTTTGGAAAGTACCTATATATTTCACTGATCTGATTTTTCTGCTACTAATTTTCATTTAATTACTTGTTCGCGGTCATTATTAATTATAAATTCTAAAATAAAAGCCTTAAAATAAACATTCGTTCGGCGAATGTTCTCATCTCGAATGATTTGAGTTTACTAAGTATTTAATATCCACCCCTTTCAATATTTGTTTCACCTTTTCTGAAAATCTATAATATAGTAACAAATCGATAAACTTTGGAATTATAAATTTTTGGTGGACTCAACTGCACTTGAAGGATGCAAGTTGAAATGCATGTGCTCATACCCATTCTCATTTCATTCTAGTTAATCGGTGAAACTTTCACAGCTAAAATCGTTTTGTTAGAACGCGTCTTCTTCACCTGATAATCCTCCATTAGTTTGGGCAATAATATATACGGTTCGATGGATATTGGAGCACCCCTGTTAAAAGTCGTGTAATTAAAGGGTAAGAAAATTTCCGGAAGTTGGATTTCCAGTGGAGCAGTGAGAAGCAGATCAACTGAAGCCTGAAAAGTAAAAAAACTACGTTGTAAAGAAGAGAATATACAACTAGCGAAACTGAATGTTATAATGGACCTCAAAAGTGCAGGTATTCAGATAAACACAACTGAAGCACTAGATTTCAATAGATAACTTTTTTCGATCAAAATCAAAATGAAAATAATGAAAATTATATTAGAAAAACGTCAATTTCATATTATCATCACTTGATCAATCAATTGATTGAAATTGATTTGGCTTATCAATAATTAATTGAAACTATTAATAACAATATATCTGAACAAATAATATATTGTATAGCCAATATAGAAGAAATGGGTCTTTGAATATTGTAATGAATTTCGCTCATTTAGCAACAGTTATCTTCCTAATATCCAGATGCAGACGATGTCGATAAGCACCAGTATTTTTAATACAGTGTTATAGTCGAGCTCTACTTTTGCAAAAACATCTTCAAAAACAGAGTGGCATAAGGCATTAAAGACCCACAAAACTCCAGTTTGATTAAAATACTTTGATTAATCAAAATTAAATAATTGTTAAAATACGTTCGCTTGTGGATTTTTGAAAGAATCTCTTTCAACCTTAGAATGATTTCCACAAAAGCATGAATTTCAATGCATCATGTTAGGAGAATGATCGCCCTTCTGCCACTTGCAGGTATACTTGTCTAATCACCTACTTTTGATCGGCAATGGGATTTGTATCTGAATATCAATACTTCTTGTTATTATCTTTGACCGGAATTTAAAGTTAATATAACTATATTCAGATAGTGTTGAACGCATTAATTACAAACTTTCACTGCAAAAATATGTAGGTATTTTTTGACTCAGTTCTTTAAGAGTACGTCAAAATTTTCTTCGGCTCATCCTTCCACGAATTTATGGTTAATTTTAACTCTTTGAATTTGGGAGTAATTTTTCGTTACTCCTCATACATTCGCAAGATTACTCCAGTCACAATTGGCGTTATCTCATGCACAAGTCTGATTTCATCTTCCAATTCAAAGCCTTCTTCCTTTTATGACCAAGCCTTTCCAATAGTAATTATTTATTAACTTTATGGTTTTACTTTGCATCTGTAGATCTACTTCTGTAAAGTAAGTAGCAGAAGTAAATCTGATAATGAAATAGAGTGGAAACAGATTTAATCTTGTAGCCAAAATTAATTAAACCAATTCAAAACTAAAACACAAAATTACACATAATAGCATCACATTAAATGGTATTCAAATATTGCAAATGTGTTCAAAATAGTATACTAAACTCACAATTTGAACATACACAGTAAATTTTAAGTTTTAGTATATGCTATTTTCGCTTCAATTAATGGTAACACTATGTATGTAAAAATGTAAAACACCGTGTGTTCGTACTTAAACATAAGTTAGTAATTTGACACGACGCGTTAAGAATAGGAAATATGAGCATAAAAATAGAGAAAATTCCAGTAATTGTGTTTTGACAATAAGAAGAAATCGTTAAGATCGCAGGTAAAAAGGAATGGCAAATCCAAGGCAGAAATAAGCGAAGATTCTCTCTGCAATTACGATGTGATGCAATTACGATGATTCTCTCTGTAATTAAGATTACGAATTCAACTGTGCTGCTACGTATACTAGATTTGTAATAAATATACGTTTTTGTATAGTATATGCAATGGTACATTTAAAAATATTTTCTACCCAAACTATTATTAAAAGTTTCACTCACCTCCAAAATAATTGAATTGTTTTCAAAGTCAAGAACATTGCATTGTATTTTGCAAATTTTAGCATTTTCAGTTATTATTGAATCGGGAAAAATTATTAGTTCTGAACTTTTCTCTTCCAATTCTAGTTTTTGGTCATCTGTGACAAAGAACCATCGAAACTGGCAACATAGAAGAAAGTGTTGAATATAATATATGTATTTACGTACAGAGGAACGCGTGCAACGGTTAAAAGTAAAACTAAAGCACTAATTTTGAACTAATTAATACAGCTCAACACTCACGTAATAATATGGAATATCTCCGCACAAAGTAACATTAGCATTTACCACAATAGGAAGAGTGGAAGGTATAGCGTAACATCCAGTAGTTAACTCTAAATTCCCCAAAAATGCAGTTTTGTCTTCAAGCCAGTCATTTGCATCGAACGTGAGATTAAAACTATTTTCCACAAAGATGCCCGAAGATGTTTTCATAATAACGTGAAGCAAATAATTATATCCAGGAATAATCTATTCAAAAATTAGCTTATATATTATTTGTTAATTCAAGAACCAGCAGCATGATGGAGATAAATTTGTCGTTACCATATTATTCCCAAATTGGATAATTCCACTGGTTCCAGTGTTATTAAAATGTTTATTAAGAAATATTTCCAAACCTCGAATAATATTCCAGGTCATTAACGTGCAGTTTGCGCTATTAACTACGCAACTTACTGCTTTTTCGGATGTAACACTGTACAGAGCTTCAACATTTTTTAGCAACCTAAAGTACAATAAGGAAATTTTTTATTAAATACACACATCTTGAATAACTACTTTTACATACTTTATTTTAGTAACCTTGCTTGGAGCTTTCAGTATATTTCGATAATCACCACACTGCAAATCGTATTTACCAACTGCAACGACATCATTCTAAAATAATTTATAGATGTAGATTTTGAATTATTACAGTTGCAAAGTAAATATTCATTAAAGCGAAGCACAACTTACCTCTTGTACACATAAATTAGTAAAATATAAAGTTCCATATACAAAAATGTGTAACAATCTCATCCCATCCGGTTGCAAAATAGGATTCTAACTAATAACTAAATAGCACTGTCTCCTGTTCCCAGCTAAAACAATACGGAGAGGTGCTGAACAATAACAACCATTTTCCGGCATTGTTTATGCATAGTTTCCATAACTACAATGCGCAAAATTTTCTTTGTTCGAATAATTGATTATCCTATTTAAATCACATTCAATCCAATGTGATATCAGCGAAAAAAAGAAAATATACTTTTATAAGGAGTTAATATCTTAAACTGCAATAATAATACATTTCAAAATATAATCAAGCCATTTGAGACAATTTTTTTACTTTCAATTTAACTTACAACCAAGTTCAAAAATGTGAGAAACATTCACAGATTCCGACAATTCAAAGACTTTTTCAATTTATGTCGTATACCCATCGTGTATAAATTTCAATATAAATATGTAATACTCCTTCCACAAAATTATCATTAAACTTTATCAAGTCAATAACCAATACTTTGTGGCGAGAGCGGCAGTTATAACAATAACACGCAAATTTTGCCCAGTTGCAGTTTTTTTAAATTACTGTTTCCAGTTCTGGTAAATAAATAGTTCTCTTGCCCATACAAATTCTAAATTGAAAGTTTCAAATTTTTGTACCCAAATTATTCACATATTAGTCAACTCATAGGACTCGATGATGCCAAATAAAATTTTAAAAAAATTACAGTTACGACTGGTTGAAAATAGTTGACTTTGATAGACACTTTAGTTTCCCTGACTGAAGAAGCTAAGGTTCTTTTCAATACAGCTGASGCCYATTAGAAAAACAKATTTTCACTATAAACTACACATGAAACAAATTAAAAGTTAACAACTGTTACTTCCTAAAGATTGTTAAAAGTTATTTTTAAAGAAACGTGGATAATTAATGTCGCATAAGGTAAATTAACGACTATGTGTGTAAATATTTCAATATGCGAATTGGAGGTTTTCAAACTTATGTTCTATAGAAAATATTTTTGATTTGTGCACCCTCTACGAGTTTCAAAAACGCCAATCCAACTCCGACTCAAAATTCAAAATTGTGAAAACTACTAAAAAGTAGTTTCCAGACCTGCAGAAAGTTTCCAACATCCAGGTTGATATTGAATGCCTTGAACCTTGAACTATTTCTTGCACAAACAGGTTTCTGCTTTGTTCAATAAAAGTTTTAATTTGAAACGCGTTTCACATAACTGCGCATCAATAGAATCTGTTAAAGAGTACGTCCTCAAACATTCTTGCACGCTATTCGTGACAAAAGCATGTTTTTTTACAAACAAATCATGTTACATCGACCAAAGTGTTTGGCAACCTCATAGAAATTAAGTCTTTGTAAAACTTTGACTAGGGGGAGCCCATCAGTAGTCGGAATTCCCTCGTACAAAAGATGATTGCAGATTTTATTAGGAGGATTCAGACATTGTCTAAATATGTTAGTTATATAAGAGAAATGAGCTAATTTTGATTCAATTTTGTGCGTTAAGTCTGCACCAAGACCAACTTATTTCACTAAGTAATCATTATTTGGTGATGCAAACACTTCGATTTTCAAAAAATTCTTAAAAGTAACAAATAAATAAAAATATGCCATGAACTCACGTCACATATCTACCGCTATGTAGGTAATTAATTATTGCTTTGAAATATCCATTATTTCCCTAGAATTTTCACACGAGATAGAAAATGTATTTTAGGTACCTAATTTACTGTTCACTACATACTTACAACTTGTATTGCAACAAGTATTGATCATATTTTATAATCACATTGACAATAGAACAATTGCCACATATGATCTCGAACCCACTCGAACCGATCCAAACCATAGATGAAGACAACTATAGATTGCCCACTCC